AAAAAGGGGCCCCTTTTTTAAACAACACTGGTGTAAAGTAACCAGTGACTCACTCAGGATAAACATATCCAGAATGGTACCTTTAATTCAGTTAGGATTATTCATTTCATACCTGCCCTGCTTTCTAATGCCTGTGAACAACAGCGATTTGTTGGTAAAGGCATAAGAGCCAGCTTATTTTTTTCCCCTCTCAGTTGGCAACTTTCATTTTAAAACCACTTAATTAAACCCTAGGTGATAGCTCGGAATAAACATAACTATCTAAAACATGACTGCCATGTGTATTGCGTACTTCTTTATAAGACAGAAATCTGCCTCGACATGAAACCGTGACCCCTGCACTGTCATTTCCCAATTAGTTTTTACTATCTTTGCATCCAGAGAAAAAACAAATAAAGTGAAATATCAATTAAAGTACTCTTCCTGCCATTCTAAACACCACCTTGACCCACCATTTTAGAATACCAAAAAAAAATTTCAGCTCCTTGCTACACTGACAAGCCAAGCTGATGAAATACGCCTGATGTTTTGATACAGCGTTAGCTCTTGCATATAATGAATAGACATATCAGCAGTACTTGACATTAAAATGTTTATCTGCCTCATGCCACATCTTTGCAGTTCCATTTTGCACTCTGTCATGCTCCTGTTGTCAGTTTAAGTACCATATGAAATCACAATTCATTGCAGCGCTGCAAAAATGAAGCTTATGCAGAATGAAATGGGACAACCTGCTGACTCTTCTGCAGCATCCTTTGCCTGGGGAGTCTGAAAGGCTGAGGCCCAAAGTATCTGACGGAAAAGCATTTTGCAATGGCACTCCCTTTTGAAAGATTTGAGCGGTATGTTTTCTAGTAGATGTGGCATGTTGAAGAAACAAAGCCTTCTTTCCTATTTAAGTTAATTGCTGTTAAGCCAGGGGTGCAAAAAGAGGGTCTACCAGCTTTCTTTTTATGGGCCACAATCCTCTGGAGAGGTTGACATTTACTTTTATGTTTTTTTTTTTTTTTACATGGATGAGTTAAGGAGAGAAGCAATGACTTAACTCCTTTTGCTCCTTGATTTCCCCCATATTTTCTAACAGTAAACCTAGACCTTTATCCCACAACGTTACTACACACCTTTGCTTTCATATTCCCCTAACTCACTTACCAACTTTCATAGGTTGGCCAGTGATGCTGGTCTTCATTGACCCTTCTTTTTATTTTAGAACATGCCTCCTTTCTTTTTCCTCTAACTGGCCATATTAATCCATAAGAAAAGAGTTTAGTATGTATACAGTGTCCTATTTCTTTACTTACTACATTCTTTTTGCCATTGCATGGAAAAAAGCATACTGAACTTATTTATGGTATCTAGAAGGTTATTAGGTCACCTACCCATTTAAAAGGGTAGTATTAAAAAAACATACTGAAGTAGAATCAGTAGTAAATAAATTTAAGAGTTGCATAAATTTTCCATTCTGCAAATATGCTAGCTGTAGTATAACCTCTTAGGAAACACCTAGTTTTGGTAAACAGATATATACCCAATATGACTTCTGCTGGGAAATGGCGGTATGCTAGTCTCTCCTTTCAAGCGGAGAGTCATCATCATGGCAATTTAAGGCTCAGGCAAGCTTCCTGGAGCCCCAAGAATTCTCTGGAGTTAAGGAAAATCCCAGAAACCATCCCGCATGATCTCCAGACAGCTCTTCACAGTGAGAAGTTCCTGAAGTGAAGATTTTCGGGATCGACTAGTGAGTGATGAGCTGGGAGGCGCGGTTACCATCAAGTTCCAAGTCACGATGAATCCCTGAAAAATGGACACTTGCGCTGACCTGTTCATTTCTAAGATCACTTTTTTTTGCCCCCCCCTTTTTTTTTACTTCTATATGGTTAAAGAGAGCCTTTCTTTGGCTATAGTGTACTTTCTCCTTTTGGTGATTACTAGTACTTTGTAGAAAGATTTCATTTTCTTTTTTGATTTGGGACAGTAGATTTGTTTATTCAGCAAAAAAGGCAAAGGCTTGGATTTTTTTTAATTTTTAAGAAACAAGAGAAAAGAAATTTCTTTTTATTATTTTTTTGTGTGTGAATCTGCACTTGGGTTTGCGTTATTGGACTGTGGATATGGGAGCTGTGTGAACTCTGTATTGTTTTCCTACTTTGTGCTGATTGGAGAGGAATGTTCCCTATTTACTTTGGGGAGAATATAATTTGTAATTTTGACACTTGAGAATGCTATTGACCATGGCTCCTGAGAGATCACACTGCAGGGATGGGTGTTTCAAGATTATGTTTCAAAATTTTGCAGAAAAAATTATTCAGTCCCTGGAGGTTAAATTTGATAATTTGAACAAGAAACTGGATGCTAAATTAAATGAGACGGTTGTTGATGGGAGACAAGTCAATGACAAGTTGGATATTTTGGAGAACAATATGGATAATATAGACATGGAAGAAGAAAGAGAGTTGGATACCTTACTGGATTTAAAAAAAAAAGAACCTTACTTTGGACTTACAGTTACTTCAGAACAGCCTAATGATAATATTATTTTGGATTTACCAAAAAAATAAAAAATTAAATCACTGAGAGATAAAGAGAACTTATTGAAGTTGTTCCTGAAAGAAGAAGACAAGGAGAAAAGATAAAGATTCAACTCATGGGGCACTGTTTGCTAGGACTAAAGATTTGACTCTGTAAAAGTAAACAGAAAGTGTATAAGGTAAATCTATTTGATTATGGTTAAAACACAGGCTGTGGTTTCTGATAGATTAATAATATTTTTTGAGGACCAGGACTGTACGATGATGTTACTAGGATTATTGTTATTTAATATCAGAAAAAAATGAGTATAGGTTGTGATTTTTGATAGTTATTAGTTTCTTGTTGATTAGGACTGAATGTGGATGTCATTAGGATTATATAAAGGAGTGTTAGTGCGTATGGGAAATATGAGCAATACGAAAGTGCTTCCTTTTATCTCTGGGAAGGAATGATGGTGTACGATAACAGTATTGGGATTTTTTATGCACACACATGGTAAAACACACAGATATTCATGACTGAAGAAGGGAATATGACAATAATGGAAGTAGCGGGAAGAAATAGATTATATTGAGATTTAAAAAAAGGGGGGGTTTAGCCTTGTTTCTGTTTGGAAATCACTCTTGTTTTTCTTTTTTGCTTAGAATTGCAAAAATGGCATGCTGATTTGGGGGTTAGACAATTAACAGAGTTTAGAATTAGAGAAGTGCTCTGTGTTAGTTATATTCTTAGAGTAAAAGATGTATGTATTCCATATTTGTACCTGTAACAGAGAAAGTTGGAAGTCAACTCTTTTCTTTTTCTTTTCTTTTCCCTTTTCTTTTCTTCCTTTGCACTTTTAACTTTTTATTTTCTGAACTTTTCTTTTTCTGTTTTTTTCTGTTTCCTTATATTTTACTCTTTACTGAAAATTAATAAAGTTTTA